ACAACTACCACAAAAACCTTCGTCCATACACCCTCTATCATCGAAGCTGAGGAAGCTGAGGAGATCGGTGTTGAACACCTCCTCCGAGACATCCGTGATGTTGCTGTCGGCTCCCTCACAACACGCATTAACAACCAACTCCAATCCCTCCAGGGACTTCATCTCCGCCTTCGCGACATAGCTGCCTATCTCGACAAGGTTCTTAAGGGGGAGCTACCCGTTAATCATGCAATTCTCGGGAACCTCCAGGATGTTTTTAACCTGCTTCCCAACCTTTCTACACCGCCGGCAGACGGTGATGATAGCAATGAATTGGCGAGAGCTATGAGCATCAAGACAAACGACCAGCTTATGTCTATTTACATTTCTTCGTTGATCAGAGCAATTATCGCGTTCCATGATCTTATTGATAACAAGATCAAAAACCGCCAGGATCAAGCGGAGGAAAAGGAAAAGGAGCAGAAGGAACGGGAAGAGAAGGACAAAAAATCGAATGGGGCCTTATCACCCGATAAAGAAGGGTCCACAGAAAAGGGCGGAAAAGAAGAACCCTCGAAGGAAAAGAAGAAGAGTGAAAAGGACTGAAAGGGTGATATCTGGTTATTATGGTGGATCCGGAAGGCAAAACATGGTTGGTGTAGAAAGCCATCTTTCTTGTAGAATAACCTCTATAATACAGAGTTCTCAGAAGCTCAGAGGGTGGCATTTTTTTGCGTGTTTCTGTTGTTGCATGTCATGAATGATGAAGGATTACATAGTTCAACTATCAGTGCTAACTGGGAATTCCAGCAAGACCTTTCCCTTCCCTTTACACTCCACGGCACGATGACTGAATACTGTGCTAGGGGACTATCCCTCTTTATCTATTCAAGGAGATTCTCCTTGGTAGTTTTCCACCGGCGATATCATGTCGTCCAAATAAGCCCTGTCAATGATCTCATCGCGCCAACTGCCAAGAGGACCTTTTTAGGAGCGTACAAGAGGCTCACCACACCCCGCACTAGCCTACCTCCCACCACCTCCCACCAAACGCCTTCTCACAAAAGGACCATCACGATGGCGGCGCCAATACTAAACGTAGAGTCCGCAAAACGCCTTGCAGCTCATCGCGCAGTAGACGAGCACTTCCCCCCTCATGCCCGCCATGTCGGTATCGGCTCTGGATCCACTGTCGTCTACGTTGTTGAGCGGATCGCGCAGCTGTCGCGCGAAATCACCGACGGGATTATCTTTGTCCCTACGGGCTACCAGTCGCGCGAACTTATCTTGCGTGCTGGTTTGAAGCTAGGAAGTATCGAAATGCATAGTGAGCTTGAGGTCGCATTTGATGGCGCAGATGAGGTAGACCCATACCTCAATTGCATCAAGGGCGGCGGGGCATGCTTGTTCCAGGAGAAGCTAGTCGCTATCTCTGCGAAGAAGTTCGTTGTTGTCGCTGGTATGCCTCAAGTCTTTATCCCTGCGGTGAGATGCTGAGAGAATTAAATTAGACTATCGTAAACTTTCACCTTCACTCTCGACTCACTACGCTCCTGGTATCCCCATCGAGGTTGTCCCCACCGCCGCGACCCATGTTCTCTCCCGCCTAATATCGCTCGGTGCTGTAAACCCCGCTATCCGCATGGGCGGCGCCTCCAAAGCTGGACCCTGTATCACTGACAACGGGAACTTCATCATTGATGCACCTTTTCCCGACGGCTTCATTCCGTCCCCTACCTCACGTCTGTCACACCAGCGCAGTATCTCTCCCACGAGCTCTTCAATTGGCTTAGACGCCGGTGCTGTACAGATGGGCGGTGAGCGTGTTGGAGGCCTCGACATCCTAGGTAAAGAGGGAGGACACCCTGGAGCGGCAGTAGGAATGGGAGTGGGCGGGAACGAGAAGGTTGAAGAGCTCGCCAGGGTTTTGAAGAACATTGTGGGAGTAGTGGAGCATGGCGTGTTCTGGTCGGGGGATAAGAAGCCCGTGATGGCATATTTTGGGATGGAGGATGGCAAAGTGGAGACGAGGACGTTGCATGTGTAGCTAACTACAATGTGATCTCTCTCCTTTCTTTATTGTTTGGACGGTGTTGTGTTTGGATTATAGCGAGCAGTGATCCGAGTCTTTTTTTTACGAGTACATGCAGCCAGCGTACCAAACCAAACCAAACCAAACCAAACCAAACCAAAAAGACCCTCCTATTCATTTCACGGTTTTTATAATTTATGTAACGCGTGGCAGCAAGAATTTAAGCGCTAGTTAAAAATGGGAAAATCGATCATTGACCAACCTACCAATCAATTGCCATAGACGGAAGTTGCTGCATATATTCAATCAATGAATTAAAATAGAAAAAAGAACCTACCAATTACACGATAAACACTCGTGACCGAATCTAAGTACATACATACATTTATTTAGACTCTTTACATAGAACTCAGCTTAATGGCCGTACAAGAATGCACTCAAGCACTTCAATTAAAGGGCGGGGCTTTCTAGATTTGTTTCCTCTGCGCGCATCAATTCCTTCAAAGGAAGAGATCTAATTATAAAAGACTTCGCGGTAGTGAATAATATCGAAAGAGTTAGGGACAATAATGACTAGACATTTTCTGTTCACTTGATTAAATATCAATATAAATTGAGGAGGAGTATCCCTTCGTGTGTTTTCACGACCAAGCGCTAATATAATGGACAGCTTTTACTCGGTAATAAACCTAACCATCATCACTGAATGAACATTTTGCCTTCTGTGACCTCTCATATACCTTTTTCAGGTGTCTCCACAGTCTGTAGGTAGCTAGATTTTTTTGAATATCACCATGCCGTCGCGGGCCTAATATGTCTCCGATTTTGCTCTGACGAACGAAGGGGTATGAAGTTAGTACTTAATATGGTGATATTGATTTTAGGATCTGTTCCGGTAACAAGATTATCAGCTTTTTTGACGATATATGGGTGGTAAATATAAAGAGGGATACTATTTATTTAGTACCGATGCCGGTATATCAAAAACGTCGTTTTTAGATGTATAATCTGAATTTTTTAAGTATGTACCGGGCGTTGAGGTAAATACGAAGAATCTGATAAGGGAATTATGCTGTGAAATAGGTGTGTTGATCTTATCAGATTCTCGGTATTTATGGTTGACCCCCGGTACATACATTAGACAGAAGTTTTGGTAATTTTTAGTTGCCGTCGCAACACAAAATCTGTATAGGAACACCATATAAAATCAGAAACACCCAAATCATCACTTTAAAAATTGGAGTGCACATGCCTGAAGAAGGGACACAAAATTCTAGAATTCTCTAAGCTCCATCCTGAGATAATTTCCAACTGTGCTTGATTAGTTGGATCTTTTTTTGATGTGGTTGGGTGGTTGTTTCGGGCAGCCCAATATGGCTACTTTCGCTGTAAAAAGGGTATATTGCCAAAACTTCTGTCCCAGTACTATACATACATGTAATCGACCCGAACCAACCCTGGTGGGTCTAGACAATCATGGCAGATCAACTCTCGCTCACTAACCGTAGTACCAGAAAGACCCATCTGCTTCAAACAAAATTTATACCGGAATCTTTGAGGGCAGTTACTAAGATCTAGACTGATCCCTCCGGTATTTGCTTTCTTTCTTTCTTTCTTTCGATTCTTTTTCGCTTTGGAGACATTTCTTCATTACCAGAGATGGCTTTATGCACCTTGATAGAACACATATGGATCTTGTATTATAATTAATAGATTTATATTCTTATAAAACATTAATTATAATGGTGGGAGGTATTGACTATGGGCCTACTCATACCGCTCACCACGACGAGGTTGGAACTTGGGTACAATGATTGAACTATAGCCGCCTCACGTTATAGTGATGGTTCCGGACCGAAAAACACTATTATCCTCATATCGAGGCTCTCTAATAGCCCGGTAAATACATCAATAACCCCTTTCCTCATACAAATAAATCCTAAAAGACGCAAAGGCCCGAAAAGCACATTTTACAGTCGATGTCTTGTGTAAATGTATCCATGGATGCTTTTACCTACATTTCCGGACCCTTTTCCATTTCCGCCGGAAATTTGTTTTTTTTTCGATGAAACGTTTGTTAGAATCTCAATATAATTAGTCTCAAGGTACAAAATATGTATACAGGATCACCAGATGTTTTTCTATGTTAATTGGCTTATAAAATTTGGGGAATATAATTGAGATTTGGAAAATAAATTGTTTAATTGGAATGTAGAGGGAGTTCTGCCATTGTAACCCCTGGCCTTCGGGTGTTCCCCTTAATCAATATGATCGATTGCACTGCAAAGTTAGTGTATTCGTGAAGTTAATCATAAGTATAGGTAGAGGCAACCAAACTTATTCCCCCTGCCTGCAGGACTAGTGGTAAAGTCATCAGCCATATTGTTGGTAAAATCGTTGGTAAAGTCGTCCAATTTCCCTAACTACGACTTTACTGGTGCATTTACCTACGAAAATTACTATGTGATCGAGAGACGACTTTCCCAATACACATTTACCAACGATGTCTTTACCGACGACTTTGCTGATTCATTTACATGATCATTATATGCTCATTTGGCAGTAAATCGTCACCGGAGGCTTATTTTTTTACCCCCAAACCGGTAAAGTAAATCTGGGGTGAGTACGAAAAAACGGGGTGGAATCAGTACTGTACAACTACGGGATTTAGTGAACAATACGGAATTAAACCGGCACTATAAAAAGAACACTGTAGTAGTGATGCATTACTAGCGTATTAACGGGAATAAGGTAGCGAATCCATACGTCCCTTATAAGAATACCTATACAAACTTGAATCTTCATATGTAAATACTTTGTAATATCCTTATATAGAAATATCACTAAAACTCATACTAAGGAGTTGGGATTGATGGGTGTCATCCTAATAACAACTTAGGAATCATTATAACCAGAGGCGGCTGTATCGCCCATTTCGCTCATTGAAGTAATTATAGTACTTATGACTTCGCTTTATATCAATTAGCAAGCCTTGCTAGCTCAATCAGTAGAGCGTGAGACTCTTAATGCATCTTGGTATCTCAAGGTTGCGAGTTTGACCCCCGCGTGGGGCTTTGTTATAGTACATCTACTTCTCTCAGATCCCCCCATCGTACGTACGTAGGGTGGGCGTTTGGGCGTTTGCTCTTTCAATTACTGGGCAGGTGTAGAGTATTTTAGGACATAATTTTAAAATTTGATTCATCGCACCGACATATCGGAGGAGAAAAATCGTAGCCAAAATCATTCCCTTCCCTGATTCGACCCAGGCTGTCCCGCTCCTCCGATAATTATATAACCGATCCTGTATCTCAAGACCTCATCAGTGGCGTGGCCTCCCACTAATTATCACTTCCACGCAATCTACATATCATCTATCCGTTTGCATAATACTTTAGTCAGATTGATCAGGGAATGGGTTATACGAATTGCGCAAGAGATCCGCAAAATGCTCTAAGCCTTTTATAGTGGTCCTAGATAGAGCATCATAATTTTCAAATAGAAAATTAACCAAGGAAAAACTTAGTGGGTCTAGTCTAATCTTCTCTAGTCTTGGGTATGGGTGCTCGTCTCCTCCTGGCGGATTTATGTGCATTACTAGTAGAGGCAAAAGAGCGAGTGAGATTCTGTGAAGAAGAAGACATAAAAGCTGTTTTGTTCGCATCCTTGGACAGAAAGGTGTAGAACAATAAGAAATGACGGAAATTAACTATTGATTTAGTAAGGTAAACCATAAATAGGGATTAGCTAAGTTTGGTTGACGCTAGACTGCCTCTTGTTCATCACCTTCCTGGCTTGGAGTATGATTCTTAATGTAGGTCCATCCTAAATGGCCTTCCTCGACTTTTTTTTATCTCCCACACATTCTCTATGGACATACAGTCGCTAACCTAGTGACGGCGGATCCTTCCTGATGGTTGTGTTTGCAGTAATTTACACTTGGCGTCTCTGCTATTGGCCTCAAATATCCTGGCCACCATCAGACAGGATCCGCCTTCACCCTGTGAGTGACTGTACCCTATTCAACAGTCCCATGAACAAAATCAGCGGCCAAGCCCCCACTTTCATCTTCATGAAATCATTTCTTCCTCTCAACCCCTGTTATCCATACAGTCGCACCTCGCTATCTCGTAATTCGATATCTCGGATCTCTTGCTGTCTCATGCGGGTTTGCGGGACAGGTACAGCCTTCCTCCACATAAACCTATTTGCTGTCTCGTATATTTTGGTATATTTGCTATCTCGTATGGGTTGGCTTCCCAGAATACGCTAACGACATAACGAGGTGCGACTGTATACATGTATGTATAGCGATAGGTAATAAGTGATGGGACGGTTATACCTGCAAACACCGTATGTTGGTGGCGTTTTACTAAAACAGGCATCGCTCTGTCTCAGCCCGTTCCATCACTTATTACCTACCGTTGTACTCACTCTGCCAAATTAAATTGCCGCTTACTTAATATTTACCATCAAATCTAATCATACTTAATTGGGGTTGATCGGCGGCATTTTAATTCTGGCACCACGAGTACATGGCCATGGAAATAAGAGAAAAGAATCCTTGCTAATGGTAACTTCAGGGTCAGATGCTATTTTGGAGTGCAGACATCTTCTATGGCTGACTTTGGCTTGGGGAACTGTTTTGGAATATTTCCGTTGGTCCTATTATCTAGACAACGGTTTTGCATCTAGATTCTGATAGTGTGGTTGACGAGCCGGCTCGAGATGAGCAATGCTCGACTCAATTCGACTTGTGAATACTCAAGCTTCTGAGTGGTCTCAGATATTAGTCCTTGAAGTCATTCCAGACCTCATTATTGGAACAGATGTTCACAGGGTGAGGGTTTACTACTACAATATTCTATAGAATAAATTACCAAAGATATTGTCAGCATCTTTACTACAGCAAAGCCTACCATAATTCCACCCCGGTGGCGGTAGAATTGCTGGAAGTATGGTGGGGATGGGATTTAGAGGGAGGTGTTTGTTAGAAAAACGCAGGTTTGTTCCCTCCGAACGCTGGAAGTTTGATAGGGATCGAATCTCGAGAGCGTGGAATTATGATAAGCTCGAGATTTTCAAGCCGAGCAGCGGAAAAATCTCGGGCCAGCTTGACTCGTGAGGGTGGCTGTTCGAGCTTTGGGATCAAATCAAGGACTCGAGCCAGCTCGTCTCGTCGGCCACACTAATCCAGAAGACGACCGAGTGAGGCATGCATATCTGTCGTCCTTCTATCTTCTCTGCTTCTAGGGATTTGGGAAACATCCTTTAGTCTTTTACGGAGGGAAGTCTCAGGCTTCCGCTTTGTAGCCTCGCCGACAGTATCACCGACTGCGTCCCACAAAACCCAGCCGGCATTGATGGCTATGGAACTCCGCATCAGCCCCTTAAAAGCTACAATGGCTAGTAGATGAACCTTCTCACGTCCTGTCAATGGGCCATCTCCGGCGACTGATACAGCGCGTTGGGGACATGCAACTCCAACAAATTGAGTCGGGGTCACCATGACCATAAGATTGCCGCTTTACGCTATAGCAATGGCCATATCTTGATTCACCCCCCCGCGATAAAGTGAAAGTAATTTTCGAACGATATATGGCGGAAGTGTATATCCTGCAGATGTGCGTAGACCACGTCAGAACTCAAATACACCCACATCGCCTCGAATAAGCAGAGATAAGAGAGTGGACTAAAGCATGTACAGATCGTTCTATACAGACATTCAGGAGAGCAAGTGCTCATGGGGTTGATCTCTATAGACGCCGTGGATGTGATTTGAGCAAAGTGATTCTCAGATGGGGGACGACGCAGTTGTTTGTATAGCAACCACAGAGTTACAAAATTACCGAGAAGTATAAAGAAGCTAGGAACACCTCTTAACTTGAACCTTTGTCATGGGAGGCTGTTTTATAGCGGGTCCTTTCCGCAGGAACGGCCTTCACGAAAGATCACTCGGCTGGAAGTGACTTTCGGAAGGTAAACATACATGTATATATTGCGCTGATGATATATCTACCTTTCATAAAGTTCAATTACAAGATTCTGACAACATCCTAGGGGTTTAATACGTTTAATAACAACATCACGCCTCACCGTGAGCTCGCTTCTTTCTTAATCGATACGAGACATGCATAGCATCGGTGCCATTCAAGATAATCCAGCGTACTAGCTTTTAAATTCTGGTCGCCAGCTAAGGGAGGAATCAATCAGGAGATGAGCCATAAGTGATAAGTACTTAGAGCCAGTAAGATCTACCAATGAAATATGTTAATCTTCATATGATATCACTCGAGTGATTCCTAGCTATTCGTACCGTGCCTGGGTCACACGGATAACATTAGTGTGTAGAAATGATATTTTATTGACATTATAAGTGGCGAATGCTTTATTAGATCCACCATTCTTAACTACCCTATCCCTATTATACTAGTATCCGCTCGTACTTTTTAATATCTATTATCATAATAACTGTTCGTAAAGCTGTACAGCCAGATATAAAAAACGTGAAAGCAGAACCTGGAACCTAAACGCTGGAAAAGTCTTAATATCCCCTCCAAATAATTACCAGGGAAACCCACACGCCTGTGAAAATGTCGAAACCCAATCACGATGACAACTTAAAAGAATCTCCACCAGATAAAGAAAAGCATGACCAAGCCAACAGCGCCAATGGGGCCATACTAAATTGAGCGCACTTATTAGCTTATTCCTAGTTCCAAATTCTTCTAATATCTGGAAAAAAGATTTGAGACTAACCTGTTTCAACATGGCTTCCCAGTTTATTCTCACAGCAGCTTGCCTATACTTCTTGCTCTCGTCTCTCAATCTGCTGCTCATATCTCCCATCCTCTCGAGAGAATCTCCGCGGTAGAGTAAATCCTCGATATTCTTCGTCATAACTTTTGTAACATCCTTAAGATCATCGTTGAGCTTATCTAAATTGGCGGTAGCCCTGGTGTCCTGGTAAGTCCTCTTTGTACGCTGCATGAACGTGTCGAATGCAACAAAGGCATATGGCCGTAGCGAGGGGTCTTGGATTTGGTTTCCGTAATTTGAGAAGAATTCAGTCGCGGTGTCTTGAAGATAAGTGAAAGCAAGTTTACGAGGGTATGAGCGCTCGCAGATGCACAGATAGCAGACATTCCCCTGGATAAGGTAGCTATTTTGCGGTTAGTAAACGTGGGCGAGGGCTTAGTGGAAATCGAAAATTTTAGGAGCGAGAGGATAGGAGCGTACTGTATTGTAAAAGCACCTGCCTCAATACTAGCCCGTGGCTCGGAGTTCTCGCTTAATCTTTTGAAAATAAGCTTGACTTGTTTCTTAACCTCAGCGAGAATGGCTTCATCCTGATCGTCATCAACGGAGGCAGCCAGTGGGACGCCTAAAGAACAAAAGATTAGCAGGGCTTGAAGGAGTTGAAAGCTAGAAGGAGATGAATCCGTGTACCGTCTAATCGTGCAATTTGAGTTGATTTCACCATCTTAAAAGCTCTGGATGCGTTTAGAAGAATTTTGGGAGAAGAGAGAGCTTGGTTTAAAAAGGTGTCCTTGTTAAACAGATGTGTCGCATGGACATTTGTTACCCGGCAATCAGCACAACCTTATATAAGAATATCCGAGTTGGGTGTCTTGGCATATGTAAACTTAGAATTATCCCATCACCCGGCAACTCAGTTCACAATTACCCATTCTACATTCCAGTTATTTCGAAGGGCTACTTAAACATTGCACAACTAAAAAATTGAACAGTATGGAATTTTTCTTCTTGATACACAGAAGCAACCTCACATAACAAAAAAAGAGATGCAATAAATTGTACAAAAAAAGCCTTGATTGCAATGCTAACTAACCTGGGCTCTTCTAAATGTCACAGTATCGAAACCCAAGCGCCCCAATTTTCACATAACACTTTAGTTGTTGGCCTCCAACTCAGCCAACATCTTCTCACCCTTTGCTCGTGCAGACTCGATGCTACCAACCATGTAGAAAGCACCCTCGGGCAGGTCATCAGCGTTACCGTTCATGATCTCGTTGAATGATCTGATGGTGTCCTTGATGTCGACTAAAGTACC